TGGTGTGATGGCAGTGGGCCCTGGAGGACTGGAGTGGTGCAGGTGCGCCCCCTACCCCCCGCGATGTGGAGTAGGGCACCCGAGGCAGAGGGAATAGGGAGAGAAAGGCCCTCAGGCTGGGCCACCAAGTACGTGGGCGCTGGGGAGGAGGTGTGATGAGAGGTCAGGCCTTGCTGGGAGCCTGCGTGAGCCAACACACTGGTCTGGCTCCTTTGGTCACGAGTGGGGAGCTCCTGGAGGGGTGGCAGCCACAGGGCCACTCAGCTTGCCCACTTCCACCCGACACTGCACCCCAGCCTCTTCCCTCCCTTCCCATCCTCAGGACCTGCCTTGTTGTGTTCAAGGCGCATCACTCTGTGCCTCAGTTTCTCATCTGTGAAGTGGGGTGGTAGCAGTGCGTTCCTCGAGGTCATTGTGAGGACTAAAGGAGTTAATGTGTGAAGTGCCGCGTCCCTGCCTGCCACACACGCCCCTCTCCTGGTGGGGACGCAGGCAGCGTGTTCCCCGGGCGAACGCCGGACATGCATGACTCTCCCCTGCACTCTCCTGGCTCATCTCAGGCCTTCCCTTCACGTCCCTGCCAGAATCGGAGCCTCAGGCACCTGCCTGAGGGCGGGAAGAAAGGTTTGCTGGGAGGAGGGATAAACCAGGGCATCTTCAGGGGCGGGTGGGCTGTGTCCCCAGCGTGCCCCTGGCCCCAAGAGAACAAACTGGGATGCCTGGCTGTGCGGTGCAGCCGTGGGCAGGTGCAGAGTCCATCCAGCCTCAGTTTTCTCGTCTGTGAAGTGGGGCGGTATGGTTCACCCCGCAGGTGGCCAGGCCTACAGAGGAGTCAGACATGTAACCTGTGGGCAGACAAGCCCCTCTGGGCCAGGGCAGTGGGGAGATCCGAGATGCCTCTCTCCGTGTGCTCGAGCACGTAGGCCCATCTGCCCAGCCCTCCCTGGCCCTCCCGGAAATGTTTTCTGTAAGTCAGCTCCTTTTTGCTAATGGCAGGAGGAATGGTGAGGGTCAGTGTTATTGTGAAAGTGGCCTGCAGCTATGTCTTGCCTGGGGGCTTGGGTTGGGGCAGCGGGGGACACGGCTGCAGCAGATTCTGGGACTGTGGCCAGCTGAGGACAGCACGGGGGTGGGGGGGTGGGGGGGACAGGATGGGCAAGGCTCCGGGCCACGTGCAGCCTGAGGTGCTGGGGGACCTTTGCTCCTCTCCTTTCTGCTTTCCCGGCAGATTCCAAGGCTGACAGGGTCTTAGCCAAGTTCTAAAAGGTGACGTGGATGTGGCCGCAGGGTCACTGAAGGCCAGTGCTGAGCCCACAGGAAGTGGGTGTGCCCAGCCTACAGCCCAGCTGCCACCGGAAACACCCTCTCGGTCCCCCACCAAACTTCCTGCCTGGAGCGGGTGGAGACCTCTTGCTGGCTGAGTGGGACGGTTTGGGGATGCTGTGGGCCGATGTGGCCCCAGGCGGTGCCGACACAGCCTGTGCAGTGGTCCCGATGGCAGCTCCGATGGGGGACACCCCGGCCCTGCCAGGCCAGTCAGGTCTCCATTCCTGGACAGCCCTCCTCCGCTGTCAGCCACCACTCGGACCCCTCATCCCATCCCGCCAGCCAGTTTACAGACGGGAGAGAACCGGGCTCAGGGCAGGGATGCCAGAGGGGAGGGCCAGGTGATGAACCTCATAGATTTGTTGGGGTCCTCGGTCTGTCACCCAGCAGATGTGAAAATGGGCTCCGGGCGGACAGGCAGGACTCCCATGCGGCTCCTTGCTCCGCACTGTTCTCAGGATTGGGGTCCATGGCAGAGTGGAGTCAGGCCCAATGGGAGGGGGTCAGTCACCAACCCCTCAGGTTCTGCAGGGCCTCAGTGGGCCTCAGCCCATCCTGCTTGGTCTCCCAGGAGAGCAGGGGTGGGGGCTGGAGGCTCGGGAAGCCCCCTCCGTCTCCTCCCATTCAAGCCTGAGTGGGCTGGAGTATCCCTTATACTGTGACCAGAACTGGGCACCCAGGGTGCCTCAGACCTGGGTTCAAATCCTGGGTTCGAATCAAGTCCCAATCCCCCTCCTGCCGGACGGAGGATGCACAGCAGTGTGTTCTGGGCCAGCGGCCTGGGTAACCGTGAGCTGCCTTCGGAGAGAGGCCACAAGACCCTGTCCACAGAGGGTGGCAGCCCTGCACGGAGTCAGCTCCCTGCCCACAGGCCCCTTCCTGGCTTTTAGGGGAAACAGTCCGACAGCCCTGAGCCACCCAGCCCCTGGGCCACAGGTGAGGTTTTGGGAAGTCCTGTTGGCCCAGGAGCACATTAACAAGGTGTTTGTCCCCTGCACTGCCTAGGTCTTGGTAGGAGGTTCCCAGGGTGGCTCCTGGCAGCTGGGGAGGCAGGTAGCGGTTCATATGGGCGTATACATATGTGTGTGTGCTTATGCATGTGTACATATGCCTTTATTGTGTATGTATATGTGTGCATGTTATGTTTATGTATAGGCTTTGTTTTATGTGTGTGTGCATGATTGTGTTTATGTGTGTGTGTATATTGTGGATGTGTGTGCATAAGCTCGTGTGTACGTATGTGGCCCACAGAAGGTGGAGCCCTTTGTAAGTCTGCACCCGGCTTTTTCTCTGGGCGTGGAGACTGGGATGAGCATTGGGGTGGCTTCGACTGAGAGCACTCTGGCCCCCGTGGTTTATGAAACTCAGGGGCACGCATGCGACTGGGTGTGGAGTGAGGGGTGGCCGCATGCTGTGGGGCACAGGCCCGCGGGCAGTGGCTGCCGGCTCCAGACCCTGGCGAGGGAGCAGCCCTGAGGCGTGGGCGTGAGGCACGGCCACCCGCTGTGAGCGCAGCTGGAGACCTGGCGTGGGAGGCAGAGGGAGACCCACACGGGGCTGCAGGGAGGCCCAGCGGCTGGCCGGGCTGCGGAGGCCGCCTTCCCTCTGCCTTTGGGTCTGGAATTTTAAACCGAGTGGATTCACTACTTTAGAGCCACTCACGTGAGGGAAAGTGGGGCAGGCAGCAGAGCCAGCTCTTCCTCTGGGCCTGTTGTTCCAGACTAAACTTCACCTTAACAAAGCGAGGCCCTCCCTCCTGCAGGTGCGAGCGTGGAGGTGGGCTGAGCACCGCGTGGCCCCTCCCGCACCCACCTCCCATTCCCATCTTTTCTGAGTCTAGAAACAGGATCTCCTGTGGCCCCAGGAGGCCACAGTTCCAGCTTGGCAGCACAGCGGCCCCTGAGGACAAAGGGCCAGGGCGGGAGGGCCAGTCGGGGGCAGTTTGAGGTCACCTGGAGGTGGAGACGCCGGGAGTGGAGGGGCCCGCTTGGAGCGGGCTGTTCTCAGCAGAGGCGAGGGGGTCTGGACTCCCCTGTGGTGTGGCCCGGCAGGAAGGCGAGGGGCGGGGCTCCT